TGAACCAACAACATTCAGATGTATTAATGTATTGTACGGGAAAACCACAAGTGAAATACTTCCTTCTTACTGCTGTTTTAGTTCCAGTGATAAATTCTTTAGCAACACCCCTTTTTTGTGTATGTTAGCAACCCCCCTTTTTTCTGTATGTTAGTAGCAGTTTATGCACAGTTGGAAATCTGTGTCATGCTTCTCATATTGTTGCACCTGTTATAACTTCTGCAATATAGCCATATCGAGCAATAGACTCCATAATTACAAAGATGATCTTGAAAATATGATGGAAAAAAGACTGGGGAAAAAGGAATTGAGGTAAACTAAGCTTTTCTGGGATTAAAAGAAAAAAAAATCATATACTGTGCATCTTTTTCAGGGACTACACCAGAGGAGAAAAGTGGAGGAGGTATGAACTTGAACCTTACTAAGACTTGCAATGCTACACTATGGTTTATCATTACAATTAAATGAGAGTAGTCAGTGATAGTGCTTGGGCATGCATGTATGCATTGGAGTACACTGTCCATTATGCAAAAGAGGAAGTACATGTACATTTTTATACTCATTCAGTCATTGTTCACTCCTCCAGTGCTCTAGCACACAGGTTGCTTGGATCTCAAGAGAAAAGGAAAGGAGGATCAATGAGTCATATACTCATTCCTCTTTTAGTAGAATCTGCATGGCAATGAACCATGCCAATAATTTTGATCCTGAATCCACCTTTGTCATACTGAGTAATATTTGCAGTGTTGGCTACATAACAGCACCATTACTGTGCTAATGCAAAACGATTGTGTGTGCGCGTGCATGTGTGCATGCATGTGAGTGTGTATGTGTGTGCCTGCATGCATGTGCATGCATTCATCTATATATCTATCAGGCACCATTCAGTATGCTTGGGTACAGCTCCAGCCAAGAGCTCCTTTTCTTCTAATAGTAACTGCATAATTGAGACAACTGGAACAAGATGCAGCAGCAGCCGTTCCATTGTGGTAAGAGCCTTCTCCATGACTTGCAGAAGCACTACTTACTGAGCTTCATAACCAAGGATGTGTGCCAAGTGTGCTTTTTAACTCTTTGCTCCCAATTCCTTTTCCTGCTGTGCTGTACTTTCAGAATGTGAGGCTGCAGCAGGACTGTCCTGTTTCCTGTCTTTGTATATCGATCCAAAAGCTCTTTTCAGATGAATTTATTTAAAAATTTTCTAAAGAAATACATGTAATTTGGGATATCTAAGAATACTTATAATTCAATAATCAAATGTTTCCCCTTCAAAAAACAAAAAAGAAAAAGAAAAAAAAGTTACACCCTCATATTTTTCAATTCTCCTTTATATTAATTTATGCAATCAATCCAAATATGTTTTTAACTTTTAGCTTCCTCACTGGAAATTAGCTTCCACCAATTAGTCAACTAAAGCTCTAGGAATTAATCTTAACCCCTTGTTCAATATCATCTAGGATGAAGTAGAAGTGCCCCTTAAAATCTCTTCCATGAGAGTAGGAGTACAGGATAGTTCCTTAAAAGTCCATCAGTGAAAACAGTCAGAACTGCCCTATTTCTTCCAATGAGACAGTGAGACAACAGGGCTTGGAAACTGGCAAATTATCTGCCATGTAGCACCCCCATCTCAAATTAGGATTGTTCTACTCATTCATTAATGTACTAATTTAAGGTTGTGGGCCTTAAGTATTATTACAAAATATAAATAATATAAATAAATGTATAGTATAAAACAAATTACGACATCATTTAAAAGAATAGCAGTTCAATAAAGAATTAAACCAGAATCAAAACAAAAATGAAATCAATGCAGAAGTATTTCTAGTAAGTTAATTTCACCTCATCCCCAAAAGGAGGAACGTGCACTTTAAACAAGAACAGCAACAACAAATGAAAGGGAAATGCATAGGTACAGCTTCCTGGGGTAGCTTAGGACCTAGAATAGTAATGGCTATGATCCGTCTTACACTTAGTTACTTAGTTATCTGAACAATTCTGAAATTGTTTGTCAGGAGGTTAGCTAGGTGCTCTATCTCAAAGTTCTAGCACATTTTTCCATGTTATTCACTTTCAGTAGCTCATCTATACCAAATATAAAGAGAGACAGATCAGAAGCAGATCATTAGTAGTTTGGATGGGGTACAAATGATATCCTTCACCTGAAATGTAGCAACTTCAGACATTACAAGCAAATTAAGTTGGGGTGGGGGGGATATCAGTGAACTGTTCATTTCATTCTGTGTTCTCTGCCTCACTCCTGAAGTCAGAACTTGCATTATCTCTCCCACTGACAGATGTGTCAGTTTCATAGGCATATGGAGTTCCCACATTTTACCATAGGAGAGATGCATGAGTTTCTGTTTCAGACATTACTGGAAAGACTGAAAAGAGAAAGCAAGCACATGTGCTCTCCACATTTGTGTAATGTCTGAAGCCATTTTAAGATATATCTACTATCTCGTGCCAAGGTACATTTTTCTATAACACAATTCCTTCTGCCAGATAAAAAAACACTTTCTGAGAATAGAGATCCCAGACCTAGATAAGTTCTTCTATTTGCACAATACTTTGTCTAAGCAATTTCTTTCTCAAGAAAGAAATTTTCATGTAGAATACTGCGTCCAGTTCTGTGCACCAAGATTTAAGAAAGATGAAGAAAAAATGGAAAGGATCCAGAGGAGGGCTACAAAAAATGATCCAGGGTTTGGAAACACTGCCCTATGAGGAGGAGAGACTGACAGAACTGGGTATGTTCGGGCTTAAGAAGATAAGACAGAAGGGGCACATGTTATTTCTCTATAAGTCCCTCAAAGACTGTCATAAAGAGGAAGGTCAAGATCTCTTCTTGCTGATACCACAGTGTAGGACACAGAATAATTAAACTCAAGTTGCAACAACCCAGATTGAGGCTAGATATTAGGAAAAGTTTCCTCACTGTCGGAGCAATAAGACAGTGGAACCAGTTGCCTAGAGAGGTTGTGGGCTCTCCCACAATAGAGACATACAAAAAGGAACTGGACAGCCACATGTGTGCGATGGTGTAAACTGGTGACCTGCAACAGCAGGAGGTTGGACCTAATGGCCTTCTTGGCCCCTTCCAACTCTATTATTCTATGATTGTATTATCTTTGTATAGCCCACAGATATATGACAGCATGTATCTTCCTTATTCAACAACTTTCTCATTGCCTACAGCTGATAAATATAGCTGTCATCATGGAACATCACTAATATATTTGCTGTTTAAACACATGGTACTGTTTAAACACATGGTGAATTAAAGCCTCTGTTTTTACTTTTCTGTGTTTGCTATAACACTGGAACAGTAGATAATTCCAATGATTTCTCATGATTAGAAAATACTCTGAAATACTCTCAATTCATGTGCTTGTGAAACATCTTTAAAAATGCAGCAGATCTTGGTACTATAGTAAATCCACTTTTATATGGTTACGGGATCATATTTGCATGAATATTTTTCCTCAGTTATAAGTATACTGGTGCATTTGGTATACTTGAAAAGTGTCATACCTGCCTTTGACAAAATATGTGACAATTTTACTCAGAAATCTTTTAAATCCAGTTCTGTTATTAAGACAAGTGCAGTTTGTACAAGGTCACTGCAAATTCAAGATGTATCAACAGAGCCAAATATCTACTATAACATAAATGTTTTTTATGAGCAGCAGGTGAATTCCTGCAAAAGACTATAAAGCTATTAACTGCTCAGTAAGGAGTATATAATAATAGGTTGTTAACTCAACTGCTCTGACAAAAGCAGGGAAAAAGGACACTTTGAAATCATTAGTAAGGCCTGCAAAAAATGAAGATATCCTATACACTATGATTTTGAATTAATAACACTTTTGAGTAAAAAATACTCAATAGTTTTAATCCTAAGATAAAATAAGGAACTTCATGGAAGGAATGTTTCTTGTTCCCTTCTATCCCTGCAGCCACGCAGTGTCGCCTAAACAGTCTTCTTTGATGGTGGCTTTCCTTAAACAGCATGGGGTGGGTTGCATGGGACTGCAGCCATGGAGAAGATGAGACAGGAGCAATCATTTTCTGATATTCTTTAAGTTGATATTTTAGGATCTAAATATGAGTTTAGATCTATACAGCTTAGGATAACTTAGGATCTAAACATGAGTCCCCCCTCATGCAGCAAACCCACCCTCCATTGTTCAGTAGGTAATTAGAAGAAGAGCTTATTAGATGTTGCAGGCATTTTCAGGGAATGGGAAACTTTTCTCCTGTTATTTTTCCTTGTATCTGCATTGTCTGTGTTGATACATAACTGCAAGTTGTGATTTTTTTTTTACACAAGAAATATTTGCACAACAGTGTACACGTAAATATCTTTTGCATTATTGTTGGATTCTGATTACATGTTTTTGCAAATATTTGAAACAATATATAGAATGTCTAAAATCTCTTTACCAGATGCACTAACAGAATAACTGTATGCATCATGAGCTATTATTCCATCTTCAAGGATCAAAGGGGAAAATCATTGGCACTCTGCATCCTTAGAAATAAGAACAAGTAATACAAAGTCCAGCCCTCATGGTTAGTTTGTAGTAGCCTCCAGAAAATATTCAGACTCCAGTACAAGCAAACCCTGGCAATCTGTTATTTCCTACCACCCTCAACCCCACAAGACATTGCTAATGCAGTCATGTGAAGTTTTCTCCAAACATTTACATCACACCAAGCAGACTACTTCTGATGAATGTTTCCTATTTTATCACCAACCAAAATATAAACCCAGTTTATACACACCCACTTTACTATGTACAAAATCCAGGGTTAAAAGATAACAGGCCAGCTATAGGGACAGTGGCCAAGTGAATGGGCCTTAACGGATTAAAAGGCCAATTATTTTAGATAGCACGAGAAATAAATGCCTATAGCATGCACTGTAAACTGATCTACAAAAGGAAACATATTATAACATTAAGTTATGAGAGTTTTATTTCACTGTAGTCAAGACCTACTTTCTCATAGTACTTGATCTCGTAGTCCAGAATGGCTCCTTTAGGAAAATCAGGCTCCTGCCATGAGAGAGCAATGCTGTTTTGTGAAGCCCAGTCCTTCCTGACCATACCTATCAAAGAAGGTGCTGAAAAGGAAAAGGATAGCTATAGGTTAAAGGGAATTTATTTATATATTTTTCACATTTGTATGCCGCCTCATAGCTGGAGGCACTCTGGGCATCTCAGTGCAACACACACACACACACACACACACACACACAAACACATCCCCCCAATAAATAACAATAACAAACAAACCATAAAACGTAATAGAATTAAAATATGATATGAATACAACAAAATAAATGGGAAACAAGATGAAAATAAATACAATATAAACAATAACAACAACCAATAAAACAAAAAACCAGCAGGAAAGCAATAATCCTATCTAAAAACAGATACTAAATATAAAAGTCTTAACTTGGTGCTGAAGGCAAGATAAAGTGGGTGCAACATATTGAGAATATTGTAAGGATCAAGAACATGATCAATAGATTATACTGGCAGTGTGAAGAGACCAAAGCATGGGAATTGTATAGAGTTACTATTACTTTTTAAACTCCAAAAACATATAGTTCAACAGTGTCAGAGGTACTGTACCTATTACTGAATTTCATTATTTCAGTGCCCAAGGTAAGGTCATTATATTTGTTCATGCAGTTAAACTATTACAAAGAAAAAATATAGACTGCAACCTTCTGGAACTTTGCAAAAAGTTGTATCTCCTTTGGCTTGTGAATAAGGACCTAAGATTCTAATGGAGAGGCAAGTGTACTGATTTAGACATCCAAACTTAAATTGTTATCTTGTACAGGTTGCCTAATTCCAGTGGAGGAAGTTGTAGAAAAAAAAAATATACACAACAGCTTTCTCCATTAGAATGAGTGGGACAGAAAGTTCTGTGTGTAAACTGGAGATCCTGTACTACCATGGGAAGTTATACAATAAATATAAATGGGTTAAACACCAATTCAGTCTTAACTATTGTGCATATTCTACACTTATCACTTTAGGTACAAACAGTTAAAACCTTTCAGCATTTATTCATATGTGCCCTTTCTGAAATGTTACTTTGCTGTATTTGTCATTTTATCCATAGACTATTCATTTTGGAAAGACATTTATGAAGAAAACATTTTGCATAGATATATATATACACTGCTTGTTCAACGTGTTCACATATTTTCACATACATTATATAAATAAGTAAGGGTGCAATCTTATGCATGTTTCGACAGAAAGAGTTCCAAGGGTCTCAGTATTCCTCAGCCTAATCACACATTATATTTTAATGTCATAATAGGAAAGGCAATTCGTTAAAATAAAAAGCAGTTGCTTGTTTATATGCTGCATGGATTTTGACTGCAATCCATTTTGTGTGTGCCAAAACAAAAACGAACTTTTAAAAGAAATTAAAACTTTGTAAACTGATCTCAGTGCTACATTTGCTCTGAAAAGGCAGATGTGTAGTGGCAGAGCACATGCTTTGATGGCAAAAGTTTCCAGGCTGAATCTCTCACATCTCCAAGTAGGATTCGGAAAGACTCTTTCAACTGGTTCACATGACTGAATAACCCACCATAGCTTATTTATTTAAGCCATGGTGGGCTGTAGCACAGGTGGGAAGCCATATTGAATATTCAATGCCCAACTGTGGCTTCTTGTTTCATATGAACCAGAGCCGATAGGTCAGGTGGAGGAGACATAACTATATTGTTGCAGTTACGTGTGAATTCTGTAATCCTTGCAAAGGCCATGATCCATGGGTTTGCATGATACAACAAATTGTGGCCAAGTATTAAATATTCAAAATGGCTACCCACAGACCACAACCTACTATGGCAAAAATAATGTACAATGGGCTGTTCAACATGCAAAGTCAAGTCTAGAGAGCCACTGCCAGTCAGTGTGGGAAATACTGAGCTAAATAGACCAGTAGTCTAACTGGATATAAATTAGCTTTGTGTAGTTTGCAAATTGATACAAAATATTACATTGGAGTTGGACCCAGGGGCCTAATAGGCCCCTTCCAACTCTACTATTTCATGATTCAATGAAATGTGGAATAAAAAATAAACAAATATACCATTTTATAACATTAGCCATCCAAGTGAAAATAATTAGCTGTTACTAATGTTGAGTCTGTGTCTGTCTCCAGTTTATCGAAATTTTAATGTGCATATGTCTAATTCTTAAACTTCTATAAATTTAGGCAGATTTAGAAATCTAAAGTTTAAACAATATAGTGATATACTTCCACATGAAAGGATGGGTACTTTGACTGGGCCAAACTACATATTATACTTAACTTTTAGCATAGTAGTATATCTGTTTTAAATTCATAAATTAAAGGTATAGTGTTGAAGATGATCATTACTCTATTATGACATGTGAGAAGAATTAATTTCTTCTCCTGCTAATTATACTCGCTCCCCGTTCCCGCACAGCAGGACTTGTGCCAACAAGAAATGTTTTGCCAAGCCCCATATGTGGAGATATGGAAGAGGGCTGGCAGAGGAGGAAAGGGGTAAACCTCACTTCCCTGCTGTAATCATGATAACAGGAAGTCTTCCCTTTCAGCTATGAAACAAGAAACATAGCTGTCTTTACACAGTTGGTATAATATACTGTTAGGCTCTCATGTAATACCAGCGAAACAAAAACAAGGAACCTGGGCCTGCAACAAACCCAGATTGTGTCTATGTATATATGCAGTTAATAGTATTATCAGATCTTATAACATAATCTATCAGGAGTTTATTCCTCTGCTCATCCTCCAATGCAATATATGTCATTGCTTGCCAGCGATGCCCTTTTGCTTTTTACATAGGATAAACACATCAATCACTGTGCAAGAGACTAAATAGACACATATCTAACATAAAAAATGGCAGTGTTCAGCAATTAGTAAGAGAACATTTCAATCTCCTTGGATTCTCTGACTGCAAGATTTCAAAGGGCACTCCAATGTGAAATTGCTGAACTAGAATTTATATATCTATTTATTTATATCATTTCTTTTCCACTACAACTGATGTGTTAGTTTAAACACAGCATATGTGAAAAGATGGTACTATTAGAATTGTTGTGAATGGCTAAATTTGTTCTTAACGTGTAACAAGTTGGGTTCTAGATAGAAATGTCATACCGAGAATATTTGTCCATTTCTTGTCCTTTTGGTTCCACTGTTTACAAAGGTGTTTGCTTTTCTACCTACTTATGCATATTTGCTTCTATGCATACTTGCCAAGTGAAGAAAATACTATGTGCTGTTGCTCAAGTGGGTTTTTGCTTAAACTTCAATAATCTGTTAGTCTTTAAGATGGCACAAGACTCTGTGCTGTTTTCGCTGCAACAGACTAACATGACTACCCTCTGGAATTTGTTACCATGCTGTAGCCATCTGCCAGCTCACAATTCTCCAATTACTTTTGAGAACACCATCTGGAATTGTCAAAGGCCTTGCCAAAGTCACATTATATGCACTGCATTCCCCTTATCCATCAAAGCAATTACCCTGTCAAGGAAGGGGATGAGATATGGTTAGTGAATTTTCCTGCTCCGCCTTCCCCAAGTGGTGTGAAGTTCAGAGCATTCTTCAAAAAAGTAAAAGCAGTGCAAACCTAGAGGATCTGTCCCTTTACAAATGTATAGGTTGGACAAGCAGTTACCAGCATACAAACAGGGCCAAGAAAGGATTTTTTCCTTGCACCTCTTCCATCAGTCCCACTTCCAGTATAGTAAAATCTGATATCCACAAATTTAAACATGTAATCCCTCTGCCTTTCCTAACAAATGCCCACTGGCCACTTAAAATATGTTTATTCTAAGTCTATTAGGGGCTCTTCAATTGTTGTTATATATTTAATGAAAGGGGTTTTTTTACTCATTAATAAATTTGACACCTCATGACATCTGTCCATTCTAATACACTGCAAGAGTTTCCCCACACACTGGAACTAGATGAGTACACAAAGAAAGGGTTTAGGTTGTTTTCAACTCAATTGAAAATGTGTCCTACTTACTATACCCCAACCCCTGTTCCCAATTCTAAATCCATCATTTTTAAAATTTGTTTAATGGAACTTACTCAAAGACATATTACATCTAGAATTCACAGTAATTTCAAATTTTAAATGTTCATAACTAAAGATAAAGATGATGATGATCACTTCATAATTTCTCTGTCAAAGGATCAAGTGTATCCCAGCTGAAAATTCATAACAACACTACATCCTAGTTTTTTTCAGTGCAATTTGTTCCAAGCTAATAACCACCTCAGTTTAAAGAGATGTTTTCAAAGGACTGAAGAATGTATTGCTGGGTAAAGGAATCAGCATGCATATAATTGATCAGATGTTCCATGACTCCCTTTTTTTTGTTTCATACTTCACTTACATATGGGTGTGAAATTTCATTGAATGGTGAAGAAAGCTGACAGGAAGAAATTGATGCTTTTGAAACATAGTGCTGGAGGAGAACTTTGCAGATACCCTGAACCAACATACAGACAAAGAAGTATTTAGTATCTCTATCACTGGTACAATCTCACACTGAAGACACTTATTCCAAACTATTAGGAGGTTATAAAGTTATTAATTTTGTTGCAAGTCCTTCTGGAGTACTGGAGAATCCTTCTGGAGTACTGGGTGGCATATAAATAAAAAAAATAAAAATACAGTATTGCAAGAAAATTGGTGGCAATGGAAAAGGTTTGGTATGTGGAACTATAGTGATAGAGAGCACCTAAAAGAAACATTAAAAATCTGAACAGTTTTCGAAGAGAAGAAAAGTGGAACGAAGGAGTAGTTTCCTCCATAGTTATACTCTGGCATGTGATTGAAATAGAAGCAGGTTTTCTGAAGCAGTTCTGATGTGTCATGAATTCCATGGCTATCTTACGAGCCTCTATGTAAACCTCATTTTTGATGTCACCATGTAGTGAGATAAATGGTTTGTGTATGTTACAGCTAGTCAGCAAGTTTTTAAAAACGGCTTTATTTCCAGATAGGATGTTCTTTATTATTTATTTCTACAACCGTTCACCCCACCCCTCGCTCCCAATCATAGCACTAAAACATTT